AGTAGGGACTCGGTTAAGGACATGGGCGGCTGTCTCTAAGGCATACCCCCAAAAGGAGATAAATACTGAAGCACGACTCATCATATAGCGAACCATGTCCAACAAGGTTTGATTACGCCTTTCTGCCACACCATTCAATTGTGGTGTCCTAGGTGGCGTCAATTGTGAAACTATTCCACACTCTTGAGATAATCGTGGAATTCAAGACTTAGGTACTCTCCTCCTCGATCGGATCAAAGCATCTTGATCTTCCTGCCCAATTGATTCTCCACTTCATTCTTGAACTCTTTGAACTTTTCAAAAGTCTGACTTTTGCTTGATTAAGTAGATATACCCATATCTACTATAGTCATCAGTAAAAGTCACGTAGAAGCAGTTACCATCCTTCGTTGTAGATCTAAACGGTCCATACACATCGGTATGTATGAGGTCCACTAGACCCTCACCCCTTTCGTACGTACCAGCGAAGGGTGACTTAGTCATCTTTCTAAGTAAACAAGACTCGCATGTGTCATCTTCCCTAATGTCGAATGACTCCAACACTCCATCCTTTTGGAGTTGGGCTATGCGTTTCTTGTTGACATGTCCAAGACGACAATGCCATAAGGATGCCTTATCCATGCTATTGGAAGAATCCAAGTACAAAACATCATTTCCTAAGTTATCAACAATCATAGCAGTTTCATAAATTCCATTACATGGTATAGCTTCAAAGTAAAAGACGCCATTTAGATAAACTAAAATAAAACCATTCTCATTATTAAAAGAAAATCTAAAACCTTGTCTAAACAAACCATGAAAAGAAATGATGTTTCTAGCCATTTCTGGCGAATAGCAACAATTGTTCAAATCTAAAGATAAACTATTCCTAAGCACTAAAGAATACACTCCAATCTTGGTCACAGCCGACGATCTTCTATTCCCCATGATTAGATTTATTCTTCCATGCTCCACGTCTCTACTTCTTCTTAGTCCCTGCACATTAGAACAAATGTGGTAACCACAACCGGTATCAAGAACCCAAGAAATATCATGAGATGAATCGTTAGATTTAATTGTGTATATACCTGCGAAAGACGGCTTGATCTTTCCTTCCTTGATGGCTTGCAGGTACTCTGGGCAGCTTCTCTTCCAATGTCCTATCTTGTGGCAGTGGTGGCACTCTGCCTCCTTTAGGTTAGGGCAGGGTTTAGCAGGATCAACTTTGGTCCCACTAGAAGAGGCACCATCTCGGGCTTTAACCTTGCGATAGTTCTTAGACGAAGCCTTCCTCTTCTTTCCCTTTCCTTGTCCAATTGCCAAAACAGGAGCAGCGGGTGGATTGGGAGTTGGTGCAACAGACTTGTCCTTGAAGTTACTCTCAGCGACCCTCAAGAGACCTTGGAGTTTTCTTAGGGTGACCTCTTCTTTGTTCATGTGATAGGTCATCCTAAATTGATTGTAGCTCGGAGGCAAATAGTGAAGCACCATGTTGATTGCCAAGTCTTCCCCAAAGTCAAAATTTAACTTGCGAAGGTGGTCGACATACCTTTGCATCTTTTGCAAGTGCACGGTAAGAGATTCTCCATGACCCATCTTAGCGGAAATCATGTTCGTGAAAATCTCATAACGCTATTGTCTCGCGTTTTGATGGTATCTCTCCAATAAGTCTTGGTGCATTTCGTACGGATACATGTCCTCATAGGACTTTTGGAATTCGGAGTTCATAGTCGCGATCATGATGCAATGTACTTTCGTTGCATCACGCTCGTGAGTTTCGAAAGCGGTGATTTCGATGGGAGTAGCAATTTCGGGGTTGATTTTTGCGAGCTTCTCATCGAGGAAATACTCCTTATCCTCATAGCGAGCAATCGTGCGAATGTATCTTATCCATTCGCTAAAGTTCGTTCCATCAAAGGTGACCTTTTGACAAAGGCTGATCAAAGTGAAAGAACTCGCAACAGCATTGTTGGCGTTCGACATTTATAAATAGAAACGACAAAGATATATTAGAATATGAATCCCTAATTATCACCCAATAAGAAAAATTAGGGCTAGGATCCAACAACAATATTTACACATTAGAAAAGGGATGTCGTAATCTAACATGCAAACAATTTGAAGGTAAGTGAATGACGATTCACTAATTCTCCACCATGAAAAACATAACTTTAAGTCCTAAATGTATTGAGAATTCCTAGGTTCGGATGAGATTCATTGAAACTTTTCAATGGCATGTTTAAATCTCGATATGCCCCTCTTGTTTGTGATTGGGATACCGAGGATCACAAAGCGGGTGTGAATTACCATGCAAATTCACATGGTGCCTTCATTGTAACGATCACCTATTCAATGTGTCGGTAAACCACACACGCTCCATCGAACTATGATAAACAATGAATCACCCTTTGCCACCTTCGCTTAGAACCAATTAGTGTGTCGGTAAACCACACACGCTCCACTAACTTCTTAGCAAGGTGCAAAGTGTAATTTCATGGGATTGCATCAATTCACTTTTCCTAAAGTAACTAAGATTGGGAAATTTTAATAAAACATGTAGTTACTTTGTATTTCTTATTATACTTTTAATGAGAGGATGAGGTTGCCCTATCCTACCCGTTCGGCTAACGACCCCCCACCAATCAAGCGAGCGGTGGGTGTGAGTGTACACCCATTAAGCGTCATTTTATAGGCCGCAACCTTATACCCACCTTATAGACCGACTTTGTGAATGAGGCCTACTAACGGTAAGACTAGCATTTAAGTTATACATATATATATATATATTAATCTTGTAATATTATATTAGTATAGGGTTGTATTTTAAACTTGTAAAATTCTAGGGTTTGAAATTTAAATTGTCTAAATTAAACTTTTAATCACAAAACATAAATTTCAACACTTGAGGACTAGTTTTAAACATTTAAAACATAAAGGATCAAATAACAAATAATCTAAATCACATAATTATCCATATTTAATTAATAATTGTCATATAAGGAAATCAAATATTTTATTAATTGATAATTATCTTCAATTAGATCAAAAATATAGTCATATATATATATATATATATATATATATATATATATATATATCACAAAATCGGATTAGGGTTGATCTAATATGATTAAGGTAAGTTTCCATAAGATAAATATGAAAAAATCTCGTTTTTGGCTAATCCTGACGCTCGGACTCGCCGAGTACCCATACTGGACTCGCCGAGTCAGGCCAACTCGCCGAGTCCATGACTCATAAACATAAAAATCAAAATTTTCAGTTAAGATTCAAACATTCAAGCATCGATTTAATAGAAACCAATCAAGGCTCTGATACCACTGATGGGTTTTGTACATAAGAACATTCCTAAGTGCGCATACAAACCCTAATGCTTGGATCTAGGTTTCTCTATTAAACATGCTTTGAATCCAAGGCTTCTAATGACTTATTAGGTGTAAGAACAAACAAAACAGATCTAGAAACATACCTTTGATTCTCTTGTTTCTAGAAACATACTTTTGATTCTCTTGTTTGATCTTGTTGTCTTGGAGCTCTAGAGTCACAATTGTCACTCCTCTAATGGCTTACAAACATCAACTAGCAAAAAGGATGATTTGAGAGAGAGGAGAGGGGATGGAATTCAACCAGAGTATCTTTACTTTAGAAGATATATCAAATTCCTTCAGCCATAGGGCCTATTTATACTTGTAGACTCCTTAAGGGTTACAACTTAAACCCTAGTTGGATAACTTAGACTTTAAGTTAATCCATATCCTTACCTTAGATATCCTTTGGACAATTTTGGCTTATCCAAGCCCTAGAAATCGTCCACCCTATCTCCCATAAGGATTTACAGTCTAAAAGTGTAACTATCAAACAATTGACAGTTTATACCCTCTTATTTAATTAATCTCTTTAAGTCACCAAATTAATACTAATTAATCTATGACTTATATTAATC